TCGTTCATCTGTATGTATTATTTATGACAGGCGGCCGGAGGCATGTCCCGTGCCAATTATCACTGGGCCGTGCGGAAATGCCAGGTAGTCAACAGTCGGAACACATAGTCTTCATTCAGAGTGATGGATAAACATCTGAGACAAGAACAGAAGAGTGTAAACTGTTTCATTAAAACAACTGAAAAATAATCAGCGTCGGCTATCTAGTTATTTTGTACAAGTAGAAGTGCTGCATGAATTATGTCATTGGTACATTGGGCTGGTGAGCAGAAAGTTTACCCAGGTTATCTTACTATTTGTATGCTATGTCGCCGTAGGGAAAATTTTTTGCAAGCTTTTGTTCCCGCGCTTTTCACCGTCATGCATGCCTAGGGCCTTACAAAGTACTAAGGTAAACACAAGCTCACACGATATACTGTTTACGGTACATCACAGATACAGTACTATTGTAATAATTGGTGATCGCCTGGTGGCCCTTACAATTATGCTGCGGCAGCAACTTGATAAAACGGGTGTCACATACGTCTACTAGTTTTAAGTAGATCGATCACAGTAAAAACATCAGATTTAAAGTCTGAAGGCATCCGGCATTTCCGGCACCGATGACGGGCATTTCAGTGTATATTAGACCATGCTGATTTGATTTTTAAGGACGAAAAATCATGTGCACACTGATGTCATTAATATAACTCAACATGACCTTTATGTATCAGAGCTGACCAGGTCAGAGTTTTCTCAATGATTCACTCTTTCAATACTAAGCCACCCCGGTCCCCCTTGAAAACACGAAGCATAACCCTATACATCTGCTTGAATATTACCCATGCTTCCCCTCATCATCCGCCTGGCTTCCCGCCATAATAAGACCTATAACCCAGACGATCCCACTCTGGGATATACTAGCAAATATGCCGATATGGCATCAAAGTAAAATCTGTTACGTGACATTTAAACACTACAAGTAGATGCATGATAAGACTAAACAATCGGTATATAGATCACAAAATGTATTCTTCGCTTCGAAAATGACCACAATTTTGAATTCCAAGTGACGTTATAATTGTTGTCTTCCTTTAGCTAGTGGTATGACCCACTAGCCATGGGGCCAGGGTGTAAACTGTGTACCTGCTCAAGGCAATCAAAATACTATAACAAAAGACGCCTCGTAAATAGTAGTCTTTATTCCGGAAGGTCCAGAGGTCGTCAGGGACTCTAGAACACCACTTTCTCGAGTTTTCTGATCGCCTTTAGAAGGAATCGTAAGCGACCCACATGGCTGAACTGGAGGCGCTTGTGGTGATATTTCTACAGTTAAGGTAGCAGTACACAGTTTCCGGCCTATTGGTATTTCTATAGTTAAGAACCCAGATGTGACCTACTTCGACGCGGTGAAAAATATAGTAGAGTGCAAAAGTAACTTACAGGAGTTGAATATGTTTGAGTTCAAGGTATAATGTACAAAATATGTGGAAAAGGGGCTAGAGTTTGCCGGCTCGTTCACTCGTGACGCAACCTTTAAAAAGCGCTATGCGGAAGGTCACGGAATTGCAACAAACCCACTGCACTAGGCAGTGACAGTATCAAGGCGCGAATCTACGCTAACCGAACGAACATGAAAATTCAACTTTTACAGTCTCAAACCTGACGTATTCCACTACCATTCACCACAGTATCCGCCTCGCTGGCGTACACACAAGAATCTCTGCCCCTTTCTCTAGTATTGTGCAGCACTACTTTCTGCCGGACTACTTTTGACTACGGGGTTCGCCCATATATACTGCGTACTGCGTACCCCCAAGGTGACTCATGTCGACACAGTAAAAGTTATAGTAAGGTGTACTAGAGGAACACGACCAACTAATATGTTGAAATTTAGGGTATAACCTGTAAAATAACTGAAAACAAAAAAATAAGTTATCGTTTTTTAACATTATGACGCCCTCTTTTATTTGGTCTTCTACCGAGGTCAACGGAACTGCAGCTAACTCACCCTGGCAGGCATTTTTTTTTTCAATTACGTAAGGGCGTTGTTGTGTCCAAAACTGTGCCCGTCCCATTCCGTGCCTGAGCGGGCACAGAACGGGACATGGCCTGACTGTCCAGAACCATGTCCGGAAACGCTGTCAATCATAGTGATTGGCGGGAACCTAGCATAATTATTCACGCCCACGATTTCTTATATGGCTAGATTACGTAAGATTTTGCGAGTCTGTGTACAGCATGTGCTTTCAAACGTTTTCACACAACTTAGTCTTATGTTTGGTCGACATGAACTTAGATAATAATATACAGAGACTAGTTACTACAAGAAAAAAACTCGCTTGGGACACATCTTATGACAGCTCTGTTCAATTCCCTGGCACGCAATGGGACAAGCTTTAAATAATACGTGTCCAGAACTGGGTGTGGTCAGGCACGGTTCTGAATAGTCCCCGCGTGTCCCAGAATGTAGGTTTCCCCCAGGCACGGTTTGGGACACGCGCCGGGTGTCCCAAACCATGCCCAAGCACGGTTTGGGACAAGGCATCCGCGTGTCCCGAACTGTGCTCAGTCCCGAGGCACGGTTCGGGACACGCGCAGAGTGTCCCAGACCGTGCCCGGGCATGGTTTGGGACAAGGCCATCGCGTGTCCAGAACTGTGCTCGACCTGAGGCACGGTTCTGAACAAACTCTTGTTTATCTACAAGTTGATTTGCTCTAGTCTGTCGTAGATACGCGTCGGGACTATCCATATCCGTGCGTCGGCTTGGTGGATAAGCAAGTGTTGTTTCCGATTCCAGGACTGAGCTTGGGTCGGTCTGCTTTCTTGGGTGTACTACGTGCTGTGTTGTATCAACAACTGTATTCGCACTGAGTTGCAGAATGATACAGGGCACTGTTTGGACACTACATGTAAGTCGTAGACCAGCGTGAAAGGTAAAAATGTACTTTACAGAGCAAGAATTACACCGATTCTTTCTTATTCTTGCCCCGACGAAAAACAAAGATGGCGGCCTAAAACAGTAAACAACACCACGAGAAGGCTCCTCCCTCAAAACAATAAGCTCCACCCCCAAAGCACGGAATGGAACTGTGCCCGATCAGGCATTGTTTGGGACAAGGCACGGTTTGGGACACAACATGCCCAGACGCAAATAGCGATGTGGGAAAACCTTTTCGAAACCATCACTCGAAGTGGTTTGGGATCGAGGCGCTTTCAATGTGATTTGGAGCGCTCAGATGGGGCCACTTGAAACCGGCTTCGGGGGAAAACACATGTAAAGCGCCTTCACTGACGTCATATGAACGGAGCCTACGTTTACTCATTATTGTGTTTAAAGTCAAAATGTCATGTATATAACACTGCGGCTGTGTTATATTTCTATGCATTTGTGTGACGCTGTCTATTTATTTGTCGGCATGGAGGCCTTAAAAAGGTACGTCCACCTGTTCAAGCATGCCTTCCATGTACATGTGTATGTGGAGAATTGCAATAACTAAATAAAATAAATATTCAGATTTTTTGTTTAACGTTTAAAGATAGACGTTAATCACGAAAAAAAACAGCAGTGTTACATTGTTTTTGGCCCATTGGCGTCAAAGAAAGACTGAATAAAGCTTATTACCACTTGGATAGTCACGAATGAACCCTGCAAATCCCGCCAGACGTCAGGTATTCAAGCTTTGTTTCAGAGCAAAGGTTAGTAATTAGTCTGTCAAGTTGTTGGGAGGGTCTCTATTTATGGGATACCTGTCCTTGGGTTCATGCACGGGTCGGCTCTATTCTGTGTCTGGCGTATAAACAAAATAGCTCAATCTTCTACAAACCTGTCAGTTTGAAATATGTTTGTCGTTACAGAAACTCTTGTAGCAATGAAAATCCTACAATCCATGGAAACCGCGCTATAAATGATACAAAACAACAGAAAATCAACCAGGTTCTCAATTCTAAGGGACTGTTCAGAAAATACCCGGGAGGGGTGTTTGAAAAGACTAATACAACATTGTAACAGGTCAACATCTTGTAATTTCCATTCTTCCACATTTTTTCATGAATATCTTTTGCGCAACCTGCCTCCTTTTCCTCTTTTTCCCCGTGTGTACTTTTAGCCACAACCCCTATCCATGCCCCCCCCCCAACAGTGACTCTCACTCGCGATTCCCCGAACTGAACCCGTACATCTGTGCCCGAGGCACTCCTATATATAAGCCTCCAGTCAACTAATGCACATTTTCACTGAGCACCTTTGTTTTTGCTAGACTTCGAAACTTTTCTAAAGCGACTTACATGACACTGTGTCCTAATAGCCCTCCTCCAATATTGTAGAAAAGTTGATAACCCAGTCACTTTTACAAAGCAGTGTTACCTCCTTTTGAAGAGTGTCTAGGATACTCGGAGTTTTTTTTTGGTTCGTCCGCCTTGATCGACTAAGATATTGTGGCAGATTCACGTATTAACTTTGAGGACGAATCGTCAAGGGGATGCTATGGAACTATGTGAGGTTATTAGCTATGTCTAACCGAAAAGATTATCAGTGTTTTTTGCTGAGAGCTTGAAGTTTTTTTTTTCATATTCCTTCACACCCTCCCCTTTTCTGGGTGTACCTTCGCCATTACTCTTGGTGATACGACAGAAATGATACTCAACCAATTCCCCAGTTTCGCCCTAGGCATTTACTACGTGCACTCTTTGCATACAGGGGCACGTACTTGTTGAGGCTCAGGTTTTGGGTGGTGTGATTATATTTGAACATCACACACACACACACACACACACACACACACACACACACACACACACAAATATGGAAAACCAGTCTTTTGGCGCCTAGCCCTCATGGGCATGAATGTGCAAATACTAGTGAACAACATCGGCTGCGAAGGTGGCAGTGGAATGCACACCTGGCACGGACGTTTGTTTACTGGTAAACCCAGATGAAATTACACAATGCACTTGCTTTACTATAAACACGCTGTTTGATCCTTCTTCTCCGATGTTTCCACAACAAGAACTGCGCTGTCCTGCATTTCAAATGAGACAAGACAAAAGTGGAAGACATGCATCGATAGCGGCATACAGGCCAAAATTGTGTACCATACAATATACTGTATATATAATACAATGCCACAATAAGAGGCATATTTCAACCAAGTGTAAAGGCACTGACGCCACTGTAAATGTACTCCCGTGCTTAGGTATTGTTTCAACCGTGAACTTTAAACATCGCAAAAAAATTATTTCCTTTCCTAACGCGAAATTTATCCCCTGCGAACATAACTGAACTTACAGTAGCTCTCCCCTCGACGCTTTCAGTGGGCTCGGGGATTTGTCTCTTGTGTGTATGTTCTACGTCCGGTCGGGCTGTCTTGCCTTCTGTGTCCCCTCTCCATTTGCTGAAATGGAACATAATCGTTCGTTAGATATATTTTCCGACGAAAACAAGGCAAATGAAGTGGCAAACAAATCCAATGTACAACATGTCAACATTCAAAAACCAGATGGAACAAATATAAACCGCTTACATGAAAAATCTTCCGTCCTTGGCGAGAGACGCCGGGTGGCGTCGGGCTATCTGGCAGGGTTCCCCGTGTATGTTTCTGCTCAGCCTAGCGGTAGTTTTTTTCTTGGAGTCTGCTTGGGAGCAAGGAGGTAATTCTTCCGGCCGTACTTTTCCCTGAGGATGATGGCTAAGTTCTCATTGTCTCCTTTTTCATGGTTCCAGAAACCGTGGACATTTTATAGAACGGTAAGATTAGATTGCACAGTGCACACTCTGCAATGCTTAAACATAGAGTGACGTCCACTCCAACTGACAGATTTGAAATTTGTATCATAAGCACTGATTGGCTGTCGTTTTATGCGAGGTATGAGACGATTGGCTTACTAGTATTTTAGGTCAGAATTTACATAGCCGGTGGCGGCTCCAATTAAATGCTAATTGTCTGCCTAATGTAAATTGGCGGGGTGCCAAGACAGCCATTGTTAGGTAGCTTGGGACCATCCTGGCATTTCACAATAAAACAATAGACATTAAAAAACACATGTACAGAAGAATCTTGCTGCAATGGCTACATAATTTCCATACAAAATGCTTCCCAGCTAGTTACTTCAGTCAGTATTTCAAGGTATTCATTACATTAAAACACCACCTGATCGCTGTAATTAAAAAATCAAGCAAAATTAGGCGATATATATACTATCAAGGAGGCCAGGTTCTAATAGATGATGCTGTTTTTGGGTAAGGTTTCGTTTGTCCAACTTTGTTTCCGAGCGTCTCTTCTGTTTACTCTAAATAGATACACCACAAAATAGTAATGAGACCTTAAAAGTTTTAAGGGATTTCAAATATATTGTTACTAAGGAATAAAAAATACTTAGGTTCATAATGTGTGATGTCTTCGGCTAATAAAATGTTGCCAAGCTTAC